CCCACCCCCGTCGGGCAAATCCTGGCGCCACCCCTGTTCTCACCTGTAAGTGGCGAGTGTACTTGCTGTTGGATGTGAGGAAAATAAACAAAAAAACGCTTAACGCAAACATCTATTATGAATCTACACATTAAAGATATTATGTGCGAATTCTTACGCTTTAGTAATAAAGTGCACAGCATGTTACTTTAGCTGCTCTACTGTTGATTTCTCTAGGCTCTCGGCAAACAAAATATTCTACAGTATTAACTTATTGTACAGACAGAACTTAATTATTTAAGTACTAATATTTACGGTCTATCAGGTCGTTGATGCTTTGCGGAAACTCATCAGTCCTATCTTCTTGTTGCCGACCTTGTTTCTAAATTATAATAATATTAAAATACAGTATTAAAGGTTGCAAAGAATGAGATTATTATATGTAGATGTGATTATATTAATCATAGGCTTACAGATGGAAAACAAACGATAAAAATTCACAGGAGATTATAGAAATAATGCTTATCTAACTAAAACAAACAAGTAAAAAATTAACTTTACTGTTAATAGTGAACTTAGTATTAATTCTTTCTTTCCAGTTTCTCATTCATTGATGATAACTGTTTCTCAGAGCTTTAGCTGCTCTATCAAAGTACCACATTTGCATAAGCACAATTTTCATTTTTTAGTTAAAAATAGGTATTTTGTCAGAGGGGGATTCATGCATCCATCCACTGACTATTTGGCTTTGCAGTTCCGAGGGTATATCAAATGTAGTTTAAATCGAAATGTTTGAAAAGAGGTAGGCCTATGGTAAAAGTTAATTCGACGATGCATGTAATGAGGTCCGATAACAGAAAACAGAATATGGGTTCGAAAATTTACTGATTGAGAAATGTTTTAAAATGTTTCTTTGGGTGCTTAAGGCTTTCTTTAATTTACCGTAAAACCTCGAACTGAAGGCCTGGCCTTCTTCTTTTTTTTTTTTTTTTTTTTTTTGGGAACTTTGGATGGGCTTCTTTTTGGGGCTATTTTTGCAAAGTAAAGAGGGGTTGTGGCTTCTTTTCAAAATGAATACTGTAAATTTTGGGAATTACTACTATGAAACAATAAGTAGGGCCACTAAATCTGTATCGTGGCGTGCATTGGTGTAGGGTGGTTCCAATCTGGGGAGGGGGGGGTGCGAAAATTGTAAATGTGGAACTACAAAGGATCTGTGGCGTAAGGAAGGGGGCCAGGGTCTTGAGCCAGACGCTGGAGGCTAGTGGGATGATAAGGGCCCCAGTGGGGGCGTGGGGGTTCAAAAATTGTAAATCCGGAATCAGTGGCATAACGAAGGAGCCAAAGGTCCGGAGCCAGGCGCTGGGGGCCAGGGGGCCGCAAAGAGCCCCAGACGGTGGGTGGGCCTATGTTATTTTGGGAACACTCCGGCTTTGAAAACGTATTTTTAAAATCAAAGAGAGCCATTTCGGGCATCCGATGTGTTTATGTTAAAAAATTTTCTTACCTCAGCCCCAAACATGTGGGGTTGAGGTAGAGGTCCCATTTTGGTGCTCGGGATATTTCTAATGGTAGAGTAGAACTCGGGGTGCAAGTTTGTTTAGAGTACCCCTTCTCTATTCGATATTCCACTATAACACCCTCATTTAAAAAAAACAAACAAAGGCCTAACCGTTGATCTTAAGGTATCATCAACCTTAAGCCAGGCTCAGGCCTATAGTGTAGGCATAGGGCCTATACTTGTAGGCCTATGAAAGTGAATGGGTGGTGTTGTCATTGAAAAAAAAAATATGTCGGCCCGCCGCTGGTCTTAACAAATTGGAACTCATGGTCACCAGCTTAAAAAGGTAGAATACCGGGGCCTAGTGGACAAAACGACAGCCACGTACGAGTACGAGGGCACATTACAGCCACGTAAACAATAAGGAAGGAAAAGAATAGGCCTACACTGTATTTATTTCGAATCACTGCAGTATTTACATTTGGGATAAAAAAAATGAATTTTTATTTTGTTTGACGACTAGGCATAGCGCGTACCGTTTTCACGAAGAGACACAAACTTCACTCTACGTGTAAACAACATTATGCTGTGTTTATTCTGATCGTTTTCACGAACAGACACAAACTTTTTACGCTAATTAACAGGTTGATTAAAGTTAAGAAAAGACAAATAAATTACACATTTGGATTGTTTAATGCTTTATCTTTAAACAAATGTAAAAAAAATATTCAAAATTCCGTTATCTTGATAGTGAAATTTACGGATTTGTGAAGTAGTCCACTTCAAACGCGTTTTTCTCAAAACGTTGTCGAAATTGTTTGTGTCTCTTCGTGAAAATGGTGACGATAATTATGTGTACTTTTGTTGGCCTAATCGTGTTCTACTTGCTGCCCTGCAAATTTTCTATTGTAGTACTAGGCAGGCCTAGGCTTAAACCTACACCAGGAACTTTTTTTGCATTTTGGGGGTGCGGCTGCACCTCCGCACACACCCTCCCCCCTCAACCCTCGAGGCCTTGGAGTGTATTACCGGCATTAAATCACCTAAACTACTGTATTTATAAACCAAGCGTGCATTAATTTAATGGGGGCTGGAATTCGAGATGGGCTTCTTCTCGAGATTAAGCCCACTGGGCTTCTATTCGAGGTTTTACGGTATACGTTCGAAGTCAAAGTACACTTTCAATAAATACTAAATAAAACCTAATCTATTTTACCTTCTCTCGCTGAACTTTTATGAGAAGCCTAGTAAAAAATAAAACATCTTCTTCTACCAGTTTGAAATTTTCTGTCGCCAACTTGGGGAGTTTTTTACATTCTGCTTTGTGTAAATCCCATGCAGATTTCTATAGAAAATTAATAGTTTCTTGTAATTAAAATACATCGATGATGTAAACAAAGAATCAAACTATTTTTACTGTGGATCACCATGGATTGCCACCATCCACTGACACTTAAGATAAGTAGAGGCCTACATTCTAGATGGGTATAAGAGACAGGTGTGTGGGAGGGGGTGTATGTATGTATTCAATTTGAACTAAAGATGCTCGAAAGGAGAATTGTGATATAATCTTATCAAAAAATAACTCAACGAAAGGTGTCATAGTATGAGGAATAGTGCCTCTGGTGGACTGGATTTTAAGCAGCCTCTCGTCATTGATGCGCAGCGCACACTTGGTATACCAATAACCCACTTCTACACAAAATTGCCGCAGACCTAACCTGCACTGATGCCTCTCCAGACTGATTTTTCGCTCACACTTGGAGTTATGGTTAAAGTTAGAAAGTAGATTGTAGGCGTAGCTCAGAAATCACATTAACGTCAAAAATATGTTTAGACTCGTAAAGTAGTGCAATAAGAGCAGATTTTAGAGGAAATAATGATCTCACTCACTGTCGTCTCTCATACAAATATCTATTGGTGATATTCTTATCATGAACCTTTTGATAATACCTAATCCTATTTTTCAAATCACAAGAAAATATGTTAATTCAAGTAAGGTAAACTACAAACATTAATATATCACGTAAACCTTCAACAAGGAATAATAAAAGCAGCATAATACAGAGAAAGAAATTGAGACGATTTATGACGTAATAATCAAAGCTTGTTTACCTGGCAAAATATATTACAGTACTTCTGGTGTTTACATCGAGTACAGCGCAAAAGCTTCTCTCTGTAAAGATTAAAAGGCGTATTTTCACGTGGTATAAATTGAAAATTATACTTAGTTGGCATAAAGTGCCATATAAGAACAAATTATTATTACTGTATTATTAATTTATTTTATTACTATTTATTACTTATAGTATATTATTATTATTAGTACTATTTTAATCTTATTCTTATTTTTATCGTTATTGTTATTATTATTAGTGTATTTTTTGATATAATTAGTGTTAATTATTTATATACAGTATGAGATAAATTACAGTGTGTATCAGGACAATACACACAGCTTTAGCTGCAAGTTAAATTAAAGAATTTATGTCTTTATAGCCCAGTAATAGTAAAGTTTCGACTGTTACTATGCCGTCGCCATACAAATGCAATGTTTTCAATCACCAGGTTTTATCACTGCTACTGCAGACGTTTCATTTTCTTGGATATATAATAGTTGACGGGTTTTGCATACAGCCGTGGATGAAAGACAGAGACACTATTTGACCGATATTATTGCAAGGAACATAATTCACTTTTGGCGTTCCATAAAGTTTGGAAATTCCGAAAGTGTTTCATGTCGCAATGTTAGGCATTATTATGTACACATATTACATATTATGTATATATATATACATATATATATATAGGCCTATATATATTTATGTATGTGTATGTATATATGTATGTATATATATATATATATATATTTAGGCCTATATACA